GCATTTGCCAAGTGAGGGTATGATCCTTCTGTTACCCATTCAATCAAATACAAAAAAAAAAGAAGCTGGAAATATTTATAATTACCAGCACAATACAGTCCACATCTGCATGAAGTGGATGCATTTGTATGAGAAAATAAGTGGAGAGTGTTTCTGTAAATCTGATGTTGTGACAAACTTTTCCCAGAATATCCTGTTTACAGCAAACAGGCCGTAGTGCTGGTGTCGGCCGTGTGCAGCTCTGTGGCTGTGACTAGTAGTAAACACGAGTCACTAAATAAGGTCAATAAAACTAGAGTTCACTTCATCACTTCATCCTTTCTTCCATCAAATGCACCACTCTTTCTTCTCCTCCATGTCCTCTCTCGTTTGCTCGACCTAGCTGGATGTTATCACAGTGGGTCAGTGAGAAATAGGTTGGTGGCCTTGATTTCTGTGTGAGCAGTATTCCAACTCTGAGCGTGGAAATCTCAGTCCGGGCCGACGCATACGCTCCAGTGTCCTGGCTGTGCACAGCAGGCGCGCCAAGCAGGCTTTGGACATACTTGGCAAGGTTATACTGCCGTCCTGAATTACTCGAGCGGACATTTTAGAAGCTCAAGGAAGATGAACATTTTACATTTAAATGACTCACTCATTACTTTTCAAGCATTTGACTTCCATAACTTGCCTGCAGCTATAAAAAAAATCCCAGTGCTGTCAAAATGTGTTGAACCAACCAGAGCGGCAGGAGTGTCACAGTTCTCCAGAATGCCTCTTGACACCTGTCACCGGCATCGCACATGTGTGTTTCACAGGTATGTCGCTGCCAGAAGCTCAGAGTTGGAGCATGTCCTCTGTGTGCTGTCCTACTTTAGGCAGCATCACATGTGACCAGGCGGCTGAGGCTCATAACAAACTGTATGTCCACTGAGTTCTGAGCTCTGGTGCTGATTTCATGGTATTTTTATTAGTTTATTAGCTGATGTGAGATCGTAAAAGGTGTAAAAATGATGGACCATGCAAAAGAAAAAACAGAACGTGTAAAACAATGACGCCTATGTGCATCCAACCATACAAACAGAAGTCCATCAACAAAACAAAAACTGTGAGCTTTTATATCCTGCCGTAGTTCTGTCCTCTCACAGCCATCTCCCTACAGGACCAGCTGCTGACGGAGGTCTGACGTAGGTCTGACAGAGGTCTAACGGAGGTCTGATGAAGGCCTAACGGAGGTCTAACGGAGGTCTGATGAAGGCCTAACGGAGGTCTAACGGAGGTCTGACGAGGCCTAACGGAGGTCTAACGGAGGTCTGACGAGGCCTAACGGAGGCCTAGCAGAGGTCTGATGAAGGCCTAACGGAGGTCTGACGAGGGTCTAACGGAGGTCTGACAGAGGCCTAACGGAGGTCTAATGGAGGTCTGACGAGGCCTAACGGAGGCGTAATGGTGGTCTAACAGGGGTCTGACGGAGATCGGACGGAGATCGGACGGAGGTCAAACGGAGGTCTGACAAGGGTCTAACGGAGGTCTGACAGAGGTCTAACGGAGG